CCCGGCCCGAGGGGTCCCGGCCGTCGGGGTGTCGCCCGCGGCCCCACGCCCTCCGCGGCGCGTGACGAAGTCGGTGAGTAACTTTCCCGGCGCGGATGCGAGTCCCGGCAGGAGCAGCGCGGCCGGAAGGGCCTGGGTTCCGGGGATCCCCGCGTCCCCAACCCCGGCCGGGTTCAAGACCCGCCCTCATCCCGGCTCGGGTTCCGGACCCTGTGTCCCGGACGGCAGCGGCCCCGGACAGGGTGTGGGACCCCGCGAGCCCCCCTCTGCCCACCGGGAGCCCCCCATTCTCCAAGCTCTTCCTGGGTCCTCTGCGCGTCCCCTGGATGCAGATTTTGGGGCACAGGGGTTGAATCAGGAAGTGTGGCGGCAGCTTTGCAGGCTTCTTGGAGTGGTGGCCCAGCAGGACCCCCGGGCAGTGGGGCGCACTGTCCTAATCTGGGTTCTGCCCTGCCCCTCATGGTGAGCACCAGGGTGGGCTGTGCAGCGTTTTTTAAATCTTTTAGTTTAATTTTTTGAGATGGGATCTGTGTAGCCCCAGCTAGTCTTGAGCTCCAGGGCTCAGGCAATCATCCTGCCTCAGCCTCCCCAGGGACTCAGGCAGCACCAGTCTATCTCTTGTCCTTTTAACTGGACTGGGGGTTCCCTGAGGGTTTGGATTGTAATTCCAGTGACCTTCTGCCTAGGATGGGTGCTGAGGGGTCTCTCTCTGGGTAGAGTGGGCCCTGGTCTCCCAGCAGGCATTGGGCAATGCCAGGCTTTTATTATTATTATTTTAGTTTTGGGGGGCTGGGGATGGAACCCAGGGCCTTGTGCATGGTAGGCAGCGCTCACCACTGAGCTGTACCCCAGCCCTCTGAGTATGCCAGAGGCGTTAGCCTGCGGGCCCAGCGTGAGAATACAGGCCGCGTCCCTTGGGGTGCTGTGGGGCGCCTCGTCAGAGAAGCTTGGGGTTGCCTTGCCGAGTAACTTACACGGATTGCCGCTCTGATTGGAGCCCTGGGGACAGTGCCGCTGGTGGGCTGGGACCTGCCTGGTCCCTCAGCCCGGCCTGGGGACACTCACAAGGACACTGTCTCCCCAGGGCCCAGACTGGCCGCTCTTGTCCCCCTGGGCCGCTCTGGGAGCCGGGCCAGTCCAGCCTGACCAATGTCCACAGCCAGGTGAGTTTCCAGCCGCCCCGCGCGCGCGGCGCCCTGTAGCCGGGGCTCGGGGTGCTGCCCCCTGACACCCTGTCCCCTGCAGGGAGCAGCCAATCTTCAGCACGCGGGCACACGTGTTCCAGATCGACCCGGCCACCAAGAGGAACTGGGTCCCCGCAGGCAAGCACGCCCTGACTGTCTCCTACTTCTACGATGCCACCCGCAACGTCTACCGAATCATCAGCATCGGAGGGGCCAAGGTCTGCGCGGGTGGGGGGGTGTTGTCCCATGACAGTTCGCTGCCTCCCTGGGTGGTAATGTGCTCCTCACGTGACTGGAGCAGGGGCTTCGGAGACCCTAGTGCCAGGCGCTGTCCTGTCATCCAGGACTTGCGGTACCAGCAGGGCCACCGACCTTGAACTTTGCCCTCTGCCGCAGGCCATCATCAACAGCACCGTCACTCCCAACATGACCTTCACCAAAACCTCCCAGAAGTTCGGGCAGTGGGCAGACAGTCGCGCCAACACCGTCTATGGCCTTGGCTTCGCCTCCGAACAGCATCTGACCCAGGTGGGGGCTGGGAGGAAGGGCAGGGACCCGGATGGGCACAGGGCGTTAGATGAGCCGGGAGCCCTTGCTACTCCGGTTCTGCCAGCCGCTTGTGCTTCCTGTCACCCCCAGTCCCCACCCTCTGTTGTCTGCTTCAGTATTCCTGATCTGGCATGGTGGTACACACCTGCAATCCTGGCTACTCAGGAGGCTGAGGCAGGAGGATCACAAGTTCAAGGCCAGCTTGGGCAGCTTAGCAAGATGCTGTCTCCAAATAAAATGTATAAAAAGGATTGGTTGGGGAGGCAGCTGGGTTGTGAGCGCTTGCCGTGTGTGTGTGTGTGTGTGTGTGTGTGTGTGTGTGTGTGTCTCTCTCTCTCTCTCTCTCTCTCTCTCTCTCTCTCTCTCCCTCCCTGGGTTCCATCCCCGTGGGGGGAAGGGGAGTCTGCATCCATTGTTTCTTTTGATGATTAGCACTTCCGTTCTGCAAAGAGTCTGTCCTCTGTTTTATTCTAGAAGCTTTATAATTTTCCTTTCAGCGTTAGGTCTTGAATTAATTTCTGTGGGTGGTACGAGGTAGGGCCTGAGGTTCATTTTTTCTAACCAAGCGTGAGCACTGAGCTGCTTTTGGGCTGTTTTTGTTTGTCTGCTTGTTTTGCAGCACTGGGGATCAGACCCATGGGGTTGTTGTTTTAGAAGATCATTTTCCTCCAGCGAGGTACCCTGCCTTTGTATGATTCGAGTGGTGTACGCCTATTAGAATTCTTTTCTTTTTTGTTTTATTGTTCTTTTTGTGGTTCTGGGGCTTGAACCCAAGGCTTTTGCACTGAGCTACATCCCCAGCTTTCCTTTTAAAGTTCTTTATTTTGAGCCAGGGGCTCACCAACTTGCCCAGGCTGTACTCAAACTTGGGATCCTCCTGCCTCAGCCTCCCAGAGTGCTGGGGCTATGGGTGTCTACCACCAGGCCCTGGCTATACCTCATTGTATTTAAGGCGACCTCAGTGCCTGTCCCACCTGCCTACCCTGGTACTTATGGTGCCCATGGGACATAGTTTTACAAACCCGCTCCTCTTTCCGTTTTGTGACTTAACAGAGATGTACGCTGTCCCGAGTCCCTTCCAAGCTGACAGGTCAGAGCCTGGGTGGGAACCTGCTGGAGGCTGAGAGGGGGCTACGGGGTTTGTTGACTGCCTCCTGCCTCCCTCCATACCCCCAGTTTGCTGAGAAGTTCCAGGAGGTCAAAGAGGCAGCGCGGTTGGCCCGGGAGAAATCTCAGGATGGAGGGGAGCTCACCAGCTCAGCTCTGGGGCTCGCGTCCCACCAGGTCAGCGCCCTGATGGCGGGGACACCGGGCTGACGTGGGGGTACGGGCGCTGTGCTGCTGCCCGGGACGATATGCTTACAGGTGGCTGAAATGACAGCCTTGACGGACACACCCTGCAGCCCCAGGGCCACGGACCACTGATTTGGGTCACGACCCCAGTGACCTTGGCCCGGACCTCTGGGGACCTTCTGACCCGTGGACGGCCCTGCTCCCCCCCGCAGGTGCTCCCGAGCCCCCTGGTCAGCGCCAACGGCCCTGGCGAGGAGAAGCTGTTCCGCAGCCAGAGCGCCGACGCCCCGGGCCCCACCGAGCGCGAGCGGCTCAAGAAGATGCTGTCTGAGGGGTGAGGGGAGGGGGTGAGGGGCGGGCGGGGCTCTCAGCCTAGCGGCCCGGCCCAGCGAGGTGGGTGCTGCGGAGGAGAGCGCGTCCTGCCCGCACCGCAGCGCAATTTGGTTCTGCCCCGCCCCTAGGCGTAGCCCCGCCCACACGCTATTTCCCCGCCCACCAGCTATTGCCTCGCCCCTTCCTCAACCCGACGTAGCCAAGACACCACCCACCCTCGTGTTGCCCCGCCCACAGCACGACGTGGGCCCGCCCCAACCCGATGCAGCCCCGCCCACCGGGCTATGCCCCGCCCACCCGGCGTCTCCGCACCTGCAGCCCGCTCTCCCCGCTTCCCGCTTCTCCGCAGCTCGGTGGGCGAGGTGCAGTGGGAGGCGGAGTTCTTCGCGCTGCAAGACAGCAACAATAAGCTGGCGGACGCCCTGCGAGAGGCCAACGCCGCGGCCACCCAGTGGAGGCAGCAGGTGGAGGCCCAGCGTGTGGAGGCTGAGAGGCTGCGGCAGCGGGTGAGGGCGTCCTTCCGCCCAGAGAGCCCTCCCGGCCGGCCGTGGTGCCTGTGGAGCCGGGCCTGCGCGCCCCCCCTGCCCCGACCCGCACCCCAGTCAGGTCACTTCCGGAGCTTGGCGGCTCTCTTCTGAGGGTCCTCAGGCGCTGATGCTCTAGCCAGTTGTGCGCGCGGTGGCGCACGCTTGTCATCCCACCACTCTGGGAGGCTGAGGCAGGAGGATTGCAAGTTTGAGCCCAACGTGGGCAACTTAGTGAGACCCTTATCTGAAAAAATAAAAAAGGATTAGAGTTGCAGCTCAAGAGAAAACCAATTTTGAGCTGCCCAATAAGGGGGTGAGCCCAGCCATGAAGGCGAGGTCTGGGCCGCACGGGCTGGGTCGGGCTGAGTGTCCTGTGGGTGCAGGTGGCGGAGCTAGAGGCCCAGGTGGCTGCAGAGCCAGCCCCTGCTGCGGAGAAGGAGGCACCTGGCCAGCCCCTGGAGAAGCTGGAGGCGCTGGTGCGGACCAAGGACCAGGTGAGACAGGCGTGGCTGGGGGCTGCCAGCCCTCGCCACCTGGGGGGCCAGGACCCCCATGGAACCCTCTGTCCTAGGAGATCCAGACGCTGAAGAATCAAACCGGGGGTGCGCGGGAGGCCCCGGACGCTGCGGAGCGCGAGGAGACGGAGCAGAAGGTGCAGGTAGGCGTGGCTGAAGGGCCTGGGTCGGGCACACGGGACCTGCCACCCTGCGCCTCGCCCGCGCTGTAAATGGATCGGAGCCGGGCTGGTGCTGCAGGCCTGACAGCCCTGTACTCTGGGAGGCTGAGGCGGCTTGTGGGGAGGCCCTGGGGGAGGAGGAGCGGTGCTTAAGGAGCTGCAGGGAGGCTGAGCAAGGGGAGCCCCAGGGGTGGTGGTGAGGGTTTTCTCCAGCACGACAGGAGCCCCAAGAAGCTGTGAGCGGAGGAGGGGGGTTGTGTGGATGACACCTGGATGCTGACGCCCCAGGCAGGCCTGGTGACCGAGCCCGTCCCCCGTCCTGTCTCCTCCTCCCGCAGGACCTGGAGGCACGGAACTCAGAGCTGGAGCAACAGCTGCGGGCCGCGGAGCGCAGCCTGGAGGAGGCGCGGGCAGAGCGGGAGCGGGCGCGGGCTGAGGTGGGCCGGGCGGCGCAGCTGCTGGACGTGCGGCTCTTTGAGCTCAGCGAGCTTCGAGAAGGCCTGGCCCGGCTGGCCGAGGCCACATCCTGAGCCGGTGCTGGTGCCCAGGCCCAAGGGGGCCCTCGGGGCTGGTTCTGCAGGAGTGCGCCTTGCTGGGCATATGTACCTGACTACAGGGACAGAGCCGGGCTAGTGACCCTGGTGGGGACCAGGGCCCCACCCAGCTGGCCCGGCGATGCTCAGCCTGGTGGCTGCCTCAGCTTCACTGTGTAGACTCTAGGATCCTGGGGCACGTGCTGTGCCCACATTACATGTCTTTAGCCCGGCTATGTGTGTGGTGTGGGCGCCTGAACCCGTCACTGGCCCTTGACTTGCCTTTTAGACAGGGTCTCACTGTGCAATCCAGGCTGGCCTGGAACTCACTCGGAAGGCCAGGCTGGCCTTGAACTCATAGCGATCCTCCTGCCTCAGCCTCCCCAGTGGACCCTGTTCAGAGACCCCCAGGCCTGACAGCCATCCCCAGCTGTCCGCTGGCTGGGAAGCTCCTAGGGTACAGCTATGCTCACAGCTGGGGGTTCCACAGAGCCAGGCTGGAGAACTGTGGCTGTCTGGGGGGCCTTGAGGGGGGGCCTGGGGCCAGGCTGGAGAAGAATGGCTGCTGAGCCGCATTCTGAACAGGGAAACTGAGGACCAGAGGAAGGGCTGCGCTCAGCCAGGTGCCGGGAGCGGCCAGCACTGCAACCCAGGCCAGCAGCGTCTCAGACCTGCAATGGGGATGAGGTGGCAAGATTTGGGGGGCAGAGTCCAAAACCATCACAGCCACGTAGGAAGACCCCTTTATTAAGCACCTCTAACCCCTTTATTAAGCAGCTGTACCCCCGGGCACGCTGTCCCGGGCCCACGCCACCCTCACAGTCCGTCCTCTGCGCCTCCAGCCGAACAAGGTGTGTGTCCATGGGCCCCTGCTGTCTGCAGGGAGCTATGGGAGCTCGGGCTGGGCCCGGGGGCAGCTCCAAGGTCCCGGGGCGGCTGCCCCCCGCGGCCTGCCCGGCCAGCGTCCTTCCGCCGCTTCAGCGCCTGCCCCACCTTCTCCTTGAAGCGCCGGTTTCTCCGCTTGATCTTGGCCAGCTCGGCCCTTCTCTTGGCCTCCAGGTCCGGGTCCTGCGGGGCAGGCAGAGCGCTGAGCGGGCGTCCGGGCCTGGGCTCCACGCCGCTCCCCGGCCGCCGGCCCCGTGCTCACCTTCCCCTCCAGGATGAGCTGCTTGCGCTTGTTGGTCTCTCTCTTCTCGTCGAAGTGGGCCGCCTCCAGTCTCTAGGGAACAGGGACGAGCCCGTCACAGGCTGGTCCCCACCGAGGCACGTAGCCCCTGCGCACGCCCCAGCCGCCACTCACAATCTCGCACTCCCTGCGGACCACGTTGACCTGCGTGAGGATCTGCAGCACCGAGGCCTCCTCCACCGGCAGCTCCTCCAGCTGCTTCTCTGTGGGGAGGGTACAGGGTGGGGACGTGGCAGGGACACACTCAGCCTCGTCTTAAGCTCCTGGGGAGGCAGGTGTGCGAGGCTGGAGTCACACCAGCAATTGGGGGCACCAACTGCTGGCCTTCTGGTTTTGGATGGCACCTGGGATGGAACAAGGCCTTCGTGCTGTGCTCCATCCCCAGCCCTTTGTATTTTAGGACAGGGTCTTGCAGAGTTGCCCAGGTTAGGTTGAATTTGCAGTCCTCCTGCCTCAGCCTCCTAAGATCACAGCATGTACCACTACACCTGACTTACCTTTTATTTGGAGGGATTAGCAAAACTCTGCATTGGGGCTGGGTGTGGTGGTGCATGCCTGTGATCCCAGCGCTGAAGAGGCTGAGGCAGGAGGATCACCCCAAGTTTACCTCAATCACCTTGGGCTACATAGTGAGACTCTGTCTCAGAAAAACAGAAAACCCTATGCACTGGGCTGAGAGTGCACTTGGGGCGTGCGTCGTGGGTTCTGCATCTCTGGACCCAACCAATCATGGATTGAAAATATTAAAAAAAAAGCCAAACTGCACCCCTGCTGGATGGGTAGGCTTTTCATTTCTGAGCCGTGCCCGGGCTCCTGTCCGCTTGTCCTCATTCCCCAGGTGGTCAGGTCCCACAGTGTCACCTGGAGCACCGAGTCCTGACCGAGGGCGGATGTGTGCGGGACCTGTGCCAATGCCACGCTGTTTCTTGGGGGGACTCGCGTGTTCAGATTTTGGGGCCCAAGGGGGCGTCTTGGAACCCATTCCGAGGGAACCAAGGGACAACTGTTCATCTCAGCACTGATGTTCTTTCAAGTCGAAGCCAGGCACCGCAGTGTGGCCCACAGCCCGTTCCTTGGGAGACTGCGGCGGGAGGACTGCTTCAGCCATATAGTCAGAGGCTGAGCTGGGGAGCGCAGCAGCCCCTCCTTCCCAACAATAAAGCAAAGCAGCGGCCGCTTCTGATTAGGCCAGCCCTGGGTCGGCGCCCAGCCAGCTGTCCCCACCGCTGCTGTCGTGCTCTGGCCTCGGAGACGCTGCCCACGCTGGTCTGAGGCAGCTCCACGGGGAGCCCTGCTTTCACAGCTGGGCCAGGGACACGCGCGGGTGGTCTGTCCCCAGCCCGCCCCACTCACTGATCTGCTCCTCGATGGTGTGCAGCAGGTGGATGTCGTACTGTGTCACCAGCGTGATGGCCTGGCCCTGCCGCCCTGTGGGGACACGGGGTTACACATGGTCAGGGACCTGGGGCTTGGCGGAGAAGGGACCCGTGACTGGACAGCATGTGGATGGGGGCTGTGCTGCCAGCCTGGCCTTGCCCACAGGATGTGTGTGTGTGTGTGTGTGTGTGTGTGTGTGTGTGTGTGAGAGAGAGAGAGAGAGAGAGAGAGAGAGAGAGAGAGAGAGACAGACAGGCAGACATGGCTGCTTTCCCTTTTTGGCTTGGCTGCCAGGGAGCCCAGGCTAAGTGACATCAGACAAGAGCTAAGAGGCTTTAGCCTGGACCTTTGCAGCCCAGTTTTTCTGCTCCACATCTCTACAGTAGTCACCACAGCCTGGTACCCATCCAGTGAGGAGGCAGTGGATCCATGTGATGGCTGTGGCCAGCCCAAGGCCACAGCATCGGGATGGAAGGGCCAGGCTTAGCCTACTGGTGGCCACCTTGGCCTTTGGTGTTCTAGGGACACTGGGGTGGAAGCCAGGGCCTGGCGGTGCCCGGGAAGCCGCACCACCTCCCCTCTGCTCCTCAAGGGAAGAGTCGGCAGCCCCTCACTGGCCATGGCGCCCGTGTCACGGGCCACACCTCTGGAGGACGACGACCCGCTGGGGGCTCACCTGCGCGGGCTGTGCGGCCGACCCGGTGGATGTAGATCTTGGGGAGCCCGGGGGTGTTGTGGTTGATGACCACCTGCACCGTGGGGATGTCCAGGCCCCTGCAGGCAGAGGCTGCTCAGTGGGGAAACTGAGGCTGAGGCTCCTCCATGTCCACTGGGCAGTGACATGGGGGGTGCCTGACCGCTGCCCAAGAGCCACTCCCCACCTAAGGTGTCCTGGGGCCTTGGTGGCCGGAGCCCGGCCTGGGCCACTCACCGTGAAGCCACGTCTGTTGCGATCAGGATCCGGTAGACGCTGGACTTGAACTTGGCCAGGGCAGCAAAGCGCTCTTTCTGTGTGGCCAGGAGGGCAGCGCGTTAGAGTGGCGGCACCCCAGGCCTCGTGTGCGGGGTCCCGGGCTGTGCCTTGGAAAGGCGTTTTTGTCCCCGCTGTTCCCTGCTCGCTACTCCTGGCCACCACAGGGAGCAGCTCCGCTCCCCGCCGGGAGCTGGCCGTCCATGGACTGAGTCCCCTACGCCGTGAGCCAAAGTAACCCTCTCCTCCTCTCTGTCGCGGGGGTTGGCTGTTCTGCTCCAGTGCTGGGAAAGGAACCAACCGTCGAGCCCTCCTGGCTTAAGTCTAGTGACGCATGGGCCGGAAGCAGCCTGGACAGTGAAGGAGCAGGGAGCGAGGCATGGCAAGAAAGCCGTGCCCAGCGGGGACACTGCAGACCAGACACCTGCTGGGATCCCTGTATTCTGGGAGGCTGAGGCAGGAAGATCACACCTTCCAGCCCAGCCTGAGAACCTGCCTCGACGAACCAAAAGACAAAACAAAACCTAACAACCCCAGACAGATGCTGGGTCTGCACCAGGGCCCCGGGGCTGGGAGCACCTGGGTGTCCCTCACCTGCTTCATCATGGAGTGCAACGCCACCGTGGGGAAGTTGAACTTGCGGAGCATCATACACAGGATCTGGCAGGTCCTGGAGGGACAGAGGTGACCGCTGACCTGTCCTGCCCCTGCCTGCCCCAGAGATACCAAGCAGGGCAGCCCTGTGCAGCTTAGAAGTGAGAAGAGGTACCAAGTGCGGGAGCACACCCCAGCACTCAAGAAGCTGAGGCAGGAGGATCCTTGCAAGTCTGAGGCCAGCCTGAACTACATAGTGGGACCTTGCCTCAAAATCTGAACCAAACAAAAAACGTAAGAGGTATGGGGCACCAGAAGTCCCACTGTCCTCCCTGCTGACCCCTCCCCAGCCCTGCAGCAGTAAGAGTGGGTCCCGGGGCGTGGCTCAGTGGCAGAGCACCTGCTAGCGGGCACAAGCCCCAGGGTTCCATCCCCAACGCACAAAATCCCCAAACAAACATAGGACTGGGGCTGGGTGTGGCTCAGCCTGCACGAAGCCCTGGGCTCCACCCTCAGCACTGCCCAGGCCCCAAGGGTACCAGCGGCTGGGAGCTGCCAGGCCCTGCCGTGCCCGGAGCCACTCTGCATCCAAGCTCCTCTCCTAGAAGCCTGACCTCTGCTCTTCCACCCTGACAGTCTCCCTGAACGGCCCGAGGCGTGGCCGTGTGAGCTGCCCCTGGGGGACCCCACGTGGGGCTGGGGCACACGGGGCAGCCCTCGGGGTCGTCACTACTGCCCATCCAAGTGACCCGGAGGCCTAACTAAACTCAGGGCACCACGGTGAACCCACACCATGGTGAACTGGCGGCGGCGGTGACAGCCGCTGTAGGGGTTTCCTGGGCCTTCTGTGCAGGGTGAGGCCGGGGCCTGGCTCTCGGTCTGGGCAGAGGCCAGCGCTCACTTGCACGTGTTGGTGAAGATGATGATGGACCAGTCCTCGTGCTCATCCTGGAAGCTCTGCACCAGGTGCACCATGTAGGCGTCCTTCACCTTCTCAGGCACCAGCAGGTAGCGCTGGTCCAGCTGCTCCACGGTGCGGACCCTGGGTAAGCGGGGGGGGGGGGGGGGGGGAGCCTCAGTTTCCCCCCAAGTCACCCGCAGCCATTA